AATGTTCACTCTGACTTCGAAGTAGCTGGGCACTCTCTCCGTTAGTAGTTCAAGCTCCCCGTCGTCATCGTAGTGGATGCCTTCCTCAGCGTATTGCATTACCTCTTTAAGAGCTGTCCTCGCCTGCGCCGCTGACATCGACATGATGGTTGTGCTTTTGTGTATGTGTTTGTAAGTGGAACGGCAAAACGATGATTTCAATCTCCGTGAGGGTTTGTTTAATGTTGTTTGTGTGTCCCTCTGCAGGAAGTATGCGGTCGTGAGACGCTGTCAGTCAGTACACGGACATCATAGCAGGGTTGACTACTGGGTGTCATTTTTTCTTGGAATCAATGACATTAAAACGAATCCGGCACGCAGTAGTCAACTCCTCTCTCCCTGCTCTCACTCTCCACCCAAACCGCTCCCCATTGGTTTGGCAACCGTAGGGGGTGTTCTGCGGCCCACTGACAAGTTTCCCCCAAGCACCCTGCCCCCCCCTTTTCATACGTGTGAAGCATTGTACGTATCACAGGGCCACGAACCATTCATTCATAAAGTCATGGAGGGCAGAGTACAACTTACCTAAGATGGAATAGTCCTCCGCCAAGTGTGTGTGTGTGTGTGTGTGTGTGTGTCTGTGTGTGTGTGTGTCTGTGTGTGTATGTGTGTGTGTATGTGTGTGTGTGTCTGTATGTGTCTGTGTGTGTGTGTGTGTATGTGTCTGTGTGTGTATGTGTGTGTGTATGTATATGTGTGTCTGTATGTGTCTGTGTGTGTGTGTGTGTATGTGTATGTGTCTGTATCTATGTCTGTCTCTCTATCTTTCGTGTGTGTGTGTCTGTATCTGTGTTTGTATCTGTGTGTGTGTATGTCTGTGTATGTCCGTGTATGTCTGTGTATGTCTGTGTATGTGCGTGTATGTCTGTGTATGTCTGTGTATGTCTGTGTGTGCATGTCTGTGTATGTGTGTGTATGTTTGTGTATGTCCGTGTATGTCTGTGTATATCCGTCTATGTCTGTGTATATCCGTCTATGTCTTGGTATCCGTCTGTGTCTGTGTCTGTGTCTGAAGGTGTCTACGTATTTCTGTGTCCATGTCTGTCTGTGTTTGTCTCTGTGTCAGTCTGCGTCTCCGTATATTTGTGTCTGTGTCTCTGTGTCTGTCTGTTTCTCCGTATGTCTGTGTCTGTGTCTGTCTCTCTGTCTGGTTGTGTCTCTGTATGTCTGTGTCCGTGTCTGTGTCTTTGTTTTTGTCTGTCTCTGTCTATGTTCGTGTCTCCGTATGTCTGTGCCCGTGTCTGTCTGTGTCTGTTTGTGTATGTCTGTGTACCATTTGTGTGTATATGTCTGTGTATGTCTGTGTGTATGTCTGTGTATGTATGTGTATGTTTGTGTATGTCTGTGTATGTCTGTTTATGTCTTTGTGTCTGTGTATGTCTGTGTATGTTTGTGTATGTGTATGTCTGTGTGTGTATGTCTGTGTATGTCTGTGTGTGTATGTGTCTGTATGTCTGTGTGTCTGTGTATGTCTGCGTATGTCTGCGTGTGTATGTCTCTGTGTGTGCATGTCTGTGTATGTCTGTGTATGTCTGTGTATGTGTGTGTATGTTTGTGTATGTTTGTGTATGTCTGTGTATGTCTGTGTATATCCGTCGATGTCTGTGTATATCCGTCTATGTCTGTATATCCTTCTATGTCTGTGAATGTGTCTGTAGGTGTCTCCGTATGTCTGTGTCCGTGTCTGTGTATGTCTGTGTGTGTCTGTGTGTTTATCCGTCTATGTCTGTGTATCCGTCTGTGTCTGTGTTTGTCTCACCATCTGTCTCCGTATGTCTGTGTCCGTGTCTGTCCTTGTTTTTGTCTCTGTATTTGTCTGTGTCTCCGTATGTCTGTGTCCGTGTCTGTCTGTGTCCGTGTCTGTCTGTGTCTGTGTCTGTCTGTGTGTCCGTATGTCTGTGTGTCCGCGTCTGTCGGTGTATCCGTGTGCGTCTCTGTCCGCATACGAGGGTTGGCTACTGGGTGCCATAATTTCTTCGATTCAATGACATCGAAACGAATCCGGCACACAGTAGTCAACTTGGACATGTCCGTGTCTGTGTGTGTGTGTGTGTGTCTGTTTGTGTGTCCGTGTCTTTGTCTATGTCCCTCTCTGTGTCTGTGTGTGTCTGTGTCCGTGTCTGTCTGTCTCTGTGTGTCTGTGTTTCCGTGTATGTGTCTGTTCCTATCTGCGTACGTCTGTGTCATGGGAGTGCATGTCTGTGTATATACGTGTATGTGTATGTCTGTATGTCCGTGTCTGTGTATGTCCGTGTGTCCGCCTGTGTCAAACGGACACACGGACATTCACAGACACGGACATACACAGACACGGACATACGGACATGCACATACACGGACATACACGGACATACACAGACGTACACTGATATACACAGACATACGCAGACAGGAACAGACACAGACAGGGGGACACGGACACACAGACACAGTCAGACATGCAGGAAAGACACACACAGACGCACACAGACACAGACACGGACACAGTCAGGAAGTGTGTTTGTGTATGTCCGTGTGCCTCGACATGCCCGTGTGTCACATAAAGGCACAGAATGTCACAAAGACGGGAAGTATGATAGTCACTTCCCTTCACCACCGCAAACGTCAAGAGTGTGCATGCTGTAGTCATAAAACGAAAACAAACAGAGGGAGAGCAGGACATGGGATATAGGACGAAGAGAGTGCACATGTTGTAGGGAGAAGAAAACAAACAGAGGGAGAGCAGGCTTGAGTTTCAAGGTACAGAGGCAACCATACCTTTGTCGACGAATGCAACGGCGTACACTGTAGATTGAATGCTTCAGAAGATGCAGATTTTGGTTTGATAATTCTGCTTCGATGGTTCAACCGTGCAGCGCATATGACAACACAAACAGACACAGGATTAGTGAACAATGTGTCATACACACGCCCACATACTAAACAACAGACACATACTCTCGGTCATTGATGTGTTATGCACATAATTGTCAGCTGCAATTTGTCAGCCCTCACTCACACATAATCTGTTTATGTGTATGTCAGTGTATGTCACCATGCATTGTCACACATGTCGCAGTATCGCATTGTACACAATGACATCACCACCATCATAGTGCACAAAACGAGAAGATGTCTGTGAACAAATCCTCTCCATATATTGTCTCTGCTGTGTACCTCACAATTGCATAAGTATTCACATCATTATACGCAAGTGTGTTCACAGCACGCATCGTCAACCCCCTGAATGAGCACAAGTCTTCACACCATACACAAGGATAAAGAAGAAGAGAACAWAGTTGTGGCCTGCCATATATTTCCAAATCATGATAACAAAGAGTGTTCAAGTCCCCTGACCTCAAGCGCTTAGCAGCGCAGCACAAACTCCCGTCGAACTCACCGAAGTGGCGACTCCACATCAGCGCCACCTCAACAGCATACACACAAGCGGTGAACAGAGCATACAATATCAGCCAGCACCTGATAAATAAATCAGACACCAGCGCTACAAAAACAAGAGAGAGACGGACCAGCGGGACGACGAAACAGTCAAACACTGAGGACGCAGAAGAAGCACAGCACCAACAATCTCTGACGTCGATGAAGCTCACACGATGAACTCTCTGAGAACAAGCAGCTATGGCTGCACCTCGCCAACTCTACCCTAAACTTGACGAAGGTCTGAGGCTTACCGCACGGTCTCCACTATCAGTCTTGTGATAGGCCAGACCGCTGCTAGCCCCAGACTCATGCAGCACACAGGAGGACTGTCACTACTCAGCTCATGCAGCACACAGGAGGACTGTCACTACTCAGCTCATGCAGCACACCGCACACAGCAGATGACACACAGCACACACAACACACACCACACAACTCACAGCACACAACACACTACACAGAACACACAACACACAGCAGCTCATGCAACACACAGCACACACTACGCAGCAGGTCGTGCAGCACACAACACACACCGCACAACACACAGCAGCTCAAATACCACACAGCACACGGCTCACAGCTGCTCATGCAGCACATAACAGCTCTTGCAGGATCGCCAGTACGCAGCTCATGCAGCACACAACACAATAGCGGTTGTGTGCCGGGCCCAGACTCGTGCA